CGTGTCTCAATCAAAGTACAATTTTAATTAACAAAGTATAAGGTACTCAGTCTGCTTGTGAATCATTAATGATAATCAAATGACAAGGCACGCCTTTGGTTGATTTCCTTATACCAATCGAGATCCACTTAATCAACCAAGAATTAACAATGTTATCGGTCTCCCAAATCACTAGACAACTTTGGGAAAAGTTGGAAAACTACATTTCCGCATCATGGCAAATGTAGTTGTCGAATTACTCTACCCGAATGAATTATTAAAACACCTTCTTTTATTTTAGTGAAAATAGATGCAAGGGGCCATGGACAAGGGGACATGGCTTATTTGGTGTGATGTCAGATGTACTACTGTGCTAGGTTATATATGTCTGCACAAAAGCATCCATCCGCTCTTTTTTCTTCGTGATCATCCAATATTTAGAGAGGAAAGTAACTTGTTACTGAATTTAAGCAATGGGTTGTGTCACTCACCATGCATGAGTTGTCTTAATTTAAGGAGCTTAATTCAGTTGAAGCACAAGTGCGCACATGTTTCGGTGTGGTTATCCTAATATTGCAGTAGAATTTGTGGAAACACGGAAATGAGGTTCATATATTATTTCTCTTCAAAACTCTGTTCAAGAATGCTTGGGTATATATAACTATGTACATATATAATTTGATTATTCACAGTATGATCCTACAAATTAGTACAGTGAGTCTGAGCATAGAATTATCCATGGCTACGAACAACTGCGAAGCATGAATCAAACAGTAAAGGGAGGAGCTAATTTATAAAATAATGCTACAAAATCATGAAAATAAGTTGCTTGTCAAGGTACTCTATGATCATTGTATTTTTCTCCGTCCACCGAAATAATTGTACGATTTTCCTGGAAGCTAGTTAGCGGTATTCATCGATGGAGAAATCTCGGTACAAAAGGAGGTGTGAAATGGACGGTGCACCTACTGGAGCAGCACATGACATGTGTACTTGAATACAAGCTGCCAAGATCTGAGTTTTGACGCATACACAAGCAAACGTCAATAATGCAGCATGCCGTCGTTTCCGCCAACTATCTTGACACGCTTGCGCTAGCTGCATACCATCAAAATGAAAGGCAATCACACACTTGGATAGCTGTGAGATTGCATTTTTCTGAAATAACACTCTATATATCTGTCATGTTTAGGCAAACAATGCTCCTGAAAAGTAAACGGATAACCGGAGTAGCTTCTTACCATCGAAATGAAAGGCAAGCACGCGCACAAACATTGCCATCATTCGACAGTGAACCGATAGGAATAAAAGAGAAACAAATGGTAGATCGATAGGAGCAATCGATCGGCACCGATCGAGTAGACGCGCGAGCTTGACTAAAACTTGACGAGGAACATGGAGGTGGAGATTCGTCTCAGCCAAGGTGCATGACAACAAAACTAAACCCATCCGTCCAGATCGATGTTTCCCGCTGTACTGCATGATGGGATAAAGTCGGGAGGGTAGGATCACTAGGACCAATTAGACGCTCAAAGCAAATATCTCCTCCGTGTGTGATTGGTTGATTCCAGTACTTGATTCCATCTAGAAGGCTAGCCATAGTGGGGGTAACATAACTAGTATCATATACTTGGGACTCGCAAACATGCTTACGTGACAGAAAATTAAACAAGAGAGAGAGAGTCATAGTAACATATATACTCCTTTATGATACTATAACATAATAAATGTTATGCTACTATGTGTCATGCATGACAATAAATAAGACCACCTATGATACTACTTTATGATACTATGCACTATGGATGTAGTATCATACACTAGTATCATATGCATGATACTAGTATATGTTACTCCCCACTATGACCAGTCGAACAGTGTACCTGCTTCTCTCGTTCTACAAGGTCAAATTTGCAACAGTTTCCAGGACTATTAAATACGCAAAGCTATAGACATTATGTGCACATTGTTAGAAGGGAGAGAGGATTGGTGGAATTATTCATTGTATTGCTTGAGCCTCGTGGGCATATATATATAGAAGTACAATGATCAACTTGGAGTACAAGACAAGCCAGAACAAATCCTAGTCTATCTCGTCTTTTCTAATAATCAATATACTCAACATCCCCCCGCAATCATAACGGTAGCGACACAGACGGTGAGACTGGAGAAGAATCCGAAGGCAAGCCAACGGACACCCCCCCCCCACGGTCGTAACGGACGATGCATCGCGGAGTCGTGGCTGGAGTGGCAACCGATGAGGTTGCTCAAGCAAGGCGGTAGCCCTTTGTGCCGTTGTCGAGGTGGCCGAGAGCGTGGGTGGCGGAGCCGTGGTCGAGGTAGCCGTGCGAAGAATGTCGTGGTCGATGTTGAGTCGGAATAGCCGGTGTTGAGGAAGTCGCCGTGGAGCCGCGGGCGCAAGGAGGCGCCGAGTTAGTTTGGGCGCAATGGTGTCGGAGTAGGGGTGCGCCAGGAAGAAAATGATGTTGACGATGCGTCGCGTCGAGTGTGCCAAACCCAGGGACACGTCGTAGACGAAGGCACGCGTTGATGTTCCCAGCACCAAGCATGCGTAGACGGACGAAGACGAAGTTGACGAAGCGCCACACCAGGCTTGCCAGGCCCGGGAACACGTCGTGGACGATGGTGTTCCTGCGCCAAGGGAGGTGGCGCGGCGCATATCACGAGAAGTCGACGCGCAGCGACGGCGGTGGACCGCGGGTCGCGACGCTACGGCCCGAAGGGGCGACACAGCGGCGGCGGGCAGGTCAGGGCGACGGCGGAAGACCTCGGGGCGGTCGTAGGGTCCGCGGGCTGCGACGCTACAACCTGAAGGGGCGACGCAGCGGTGGAACGCGGGTCGGTGCAACCGCAGGGACGGCCTCGGGATGGCAGCGTGGACCGCGTGCCATGCTCGCTACAGCCCGACGGGGCAACGCAGCGGTGACACGAGGGTCGGTGCAGCTACAGGGACGGCCTGGAGCGGACGGCCCC